TTTTTGAGTGCTAACTGGCTCCCTGATATTTGGCAATGATTCGACCATTAGATGTCCTGACATAATTTGCGACCAGTTACACTTTGGCTGCACGCCTAAAAAACGGCTATAATATACTTGTCTGACAACATTAAACTGTAGCCATGGACTAGTTTTCATATTTACTTTCTTCTGTCAACAGTTAAAACGAGAGAAAGCAAATCGTTCTGCTTAAGCTGCTCAGTTCAATGTATGAGGGTCTGAGGGATGGATGGATGACTAACATAAGCTAAAAGCCCATAAATGAAGGCCTTGCGTAAAATAAGGTTCTGCGCGACACGTTTTCTTAAATGTCAGCCTAAAGTTGGTAGAAAATAGTTGATGATATATAGCATACATCCTAATCATCAAGACGTTTACCTATTTTCACTCACACCATACTTTGATGCATGCTTATGAAACACGGTCAAACATACGATACGCTTGTAAGCGATATCTAGGTCTTGGAGCAAAAAAAAAATCTACAAAAAAAACCTTGGTGCTTTCACTGATATGTGGCGGCAGGGTGATGTTGTGGTCAAAATGAACTATTATTTTGTAGGCTAGGTTACTGTTAACTATTTATTGTAAGGATCCTGTGCATGCACCAACGCGTTCGCCATAGAGCCAATATAAAGAAAACATTTTTATACCGAATCAAGATGTAATGTGTGTCGTTGTTGGGTTGGGTTGTTTTTTTTACATCACTGGCCTACAGGATTTTAAATCATTGCAAAGTCAGATGTGCACTGGAAAATCAATACATTGACTAGATGTTTTGTTCATAATCATAATACGCTTCGAACCATCGTATTTAAAAGGATTTGCCTGGAATACAGTAATAGGATTAGTCGTCCGCAACTGACTTCAAGGCACCGTATCATACGTTTCCGTTTTTGTTCAGATCACAGTGCCCCCGCAATGATATAGGTGTACTTAATAATAGATAGCATATTTTGTATAGCACAAATCTCCGCTCTACAGCAAGCTCTGTGCGCTTCACAATCTATACCATTACCCAACAGACCTGAGAGCATTCTGAAACAACCCCAACTTTCTGGCAAGCATACAGTGCAAGCGGCTATTTATAGGCGCTAAAACACTAGCATACTGACAAAATCTTTCGCTTTTTATGGCCGGGTACCCAATCCCACTTGGGTGAGGTGAGGAAAATTCGTGTAAAGTGCATTTCCCAATGACACAACCTCGGGACCGCGGCTCGGGTCCCGGAACCCACAACCTTACGATTACGAGTCCGGTAGCTTAACCACAAGACCACCGACGCCTGACTTACGGACAGATGGAATTCCAATTTAATTAACTTATGTTGTTCCGATTCTACTCTTTTTTCAGACTTAATTATATAACAATGCAAATGGTTTTGAAAAGTATTCATCTTTGCACTCTTATGCCCTTCCCTTT